GGCGTGGACCAGGACCAACGAGATAGGTGTACCAAGTCAGTCACAAACGGCCTCTACCGTACTGAAAAGGAAATGACAACTTTCAGCAAGAACTTACCCCTACAGCCGTTCAGAAGTGAAAAGACAATGCACCGTAGCCAGATATGTCATTGAGAACAAGATACATCATCCATCCATCCATCAGGTGAGAAAGCAATCCACATGCTCACACACACAACCAAGACCGCAGAGAAGAGGAAGAGAGCCCAGCACACCCCAACAGGTCATGAAGCACCAAGCAACCTCCCACGGGCATAACCAGATGGATAACGACTCACCCCCCTCTCTCATAGGTCCTGACCCCTAGCAACCACTACACGAAGTGTCCTAGCATGACTAAGAGGGCCTCCCTACACCCCTGTTACAACGCCGGATCCTCCGTCGTTGTCTGAAGACCAAAGTAGCAACTTGCAGCTCTTCGATGCGGATATGGCAACCTCCGATCAAGTCTCCCTCTTGAGGGGAAGCCCAAAAGTCACTGAATGTCTTCTTGAAGTGCAGATTCCAGGTGCGAGTACCTCTCACTCTCTACTCCCTCTCGCTTACTCCAATCAGCCTCCTTTGTGTCTCGCCACCCCATCCAATCACTCAAACAACCTGGTAAGGTCTAATGTCGACCCCACATGACCTAACCAGGCGGGGGCAGTATCCACATACCTCACTGCCCCACTTAACCATAACTTCCAACCCTAATCCGAGATTAGGTTAGCCCTAACCTAACTCGGAATTAGGTTTAGGGTGACTAACACCTCTCGCCAGCAAGTAAGTCCGCTCCGATACCAATTGTTACGATCCTGGTCATTTCCAAAGTTCAAATTCACAATGAAAGACAATGCCACCCAATTGCGAAGGAAATGAAAACACTTGCAAAGAGATAGAGACCAGAGGAGAGAGAAAGAAGAAGAAGAAGATCTACACCTGCAAGACCTATGACAAATCCCCCTTCTCTCCCCACCTTCCTCCTCCTCCTCCACTTCGCCAATCTGATTCTTCTTCCAATAATAATAATAACAATGATTGGATGAACCAGAATCAATGTCCGAAGTTCCCTCTTTACTGCTGACACAACAACAACAGATTCAGCATAGCTATGGCTTCCCCCCTTCTTCCACCTCTCACAAGCCTAGGCTATGGCGGACAACTGAGGGCTCTGGCCCTCTCTGTGCAAAGGACAAAACAAAGCAGCTATGGCACTGCACTCATGTCCAAAGGATAACCCAAAGCAGCTATGCCGCTGCTGACTAAGCCGCCATGCCTGACTCTGCCTCGAGCTTCCTTGGTGCGGCACTACCCCAACTGGGGCATTCCAGATGCAGCGCCCAACAAGGTGATGAAGATGGTGTCCACCATAGCCAGGTAGGTACCTTGCCACTCTCCTCCTTCGCCCCCTTCTTCCTCCTCTTCAGGCTGGGCTGCTCGTCAGAGCCAGGCTGAGCGCCCAGCTGCTGTTCACCTCCAGGCAGCGCTGTACAAGTCCAGCGCTTGGCTCAGCAGCATGTTGCCAATCCTTCCGTACCGCAAATGAGGAGGAGCTACTTGCTCCTCCAGAAGATATAGCGGCCTACTGGCCTCTTGGGCGGTGGCTTCCTAGGCCGAGCGGCATCCCATCCCTTTCGGAGGGAAACATCATTGCAGGCTCTGCTATCGTCCGGACAGGCCCTAGACTCAGGCTACTTGGACTGGTACTGGCCTACCTCTATCCTACCGCTGCTGGGCCTCTAAAAATGCCAACTTTTTGTCTTCTTCTGCTCGGCCTCCAGTACCCGACACTCCTACCACTACTTGAGTGGTACCGGCCTACCTGCTACTTGAGTGT